ACTGAGTTCATATTAATCCGCAAGTGTTAGAACAGTTCCAGCACAGCGTTTGAACACTTTGCTGTGCTTGAACTGTTCCGGAAGTTGCGGATTAGTATGAACCCATCCTAAGAATTACTATGGAGCGAAGTGACTACTGCTCTTCACTGTTGTAGGTTACCCTAGGAGAACTGAAGAAGGTTTTGAGAGGTTCAGGAACATACTTTGTCTAAGAAAGGAGACAAAAAAACCGAAAACTTTTACATTAGGGCTCTTAGACTCACTGACTTCGAAAATTTGCACCCAACCATAATGCTTTTTTTCAAAGCTATGCCAGGTACGCTCTAACAAATGTCAAATGTTTTAATGTTTCTCAAAAACTTGATTACACACTGAAAGAGCTTGAAGTGCTCTCGAGAAGCTGTGTAGTAATACCAGCACACGTAAAAATATGTGCTGCACGAATTTTTAGATTTTTTGGAGAAGAGATCTTACCCCTCCCTTCCCAATGGTCGGCTGCCTCATCGTGGCGTTGAGGTAACACTGGGTGTCGAACTGCGATGCACCGCCGAGTGTATACTCTTATAGGGCCTCCCAAGCTGTGAAGGAGTTTGACGTTTCCGGTTTCGGCCGGATGCCTAGCTAAAAACCGGCCACGCCAGATCTCCGCCGTCTGGCTTCTTCTGGTCGCTAGGCGGTCCCTCCCCGCTCCACACCCGATGTCAGCGATCGCGCCATGGAAATCAAGAGTGGGCCTAGTAAGTCTGCTCTTGTAGGGGAAACATTTTTATTACTCGATCAGCATAAAAAGGAGAAATAAACCTTGCACATTGTGCCCCGCATACGGCGCCGGGTAGTAGCAAGAACGATGTCAGGGTATTCAGGGCGCTTTCGGATCGGACAAAAACGACACCTCTGCCCGAACGACACTCCATGGAGACTGCCTCATGCTCTGCACCTACAACGCCAAAACAGTCTCCACCAACCTCCACGCTCTTCTCCACGCTGCAGAGCACATCAAATATCACATCGTCGCTCTGCAAGAAACGAAGTCCGGGAAGAAGGATGTGCGACAGACGAGTGATGGGTGGACGACAAAGCCAACGCCTCTAACGTTTCGTGATGGAACCTTTGCACGCCTCATCATTCGGGGTGCAAAGGTTCCATCACAAAACGTTGGAGGCGTTGGCTTTGTCGTCCACCCATTCCATCTTGTCGATTCGCATGAGATCCTGTCACCTCAACTAGCCATCCTACGACTACGACTTTCATGTCGGAAGACCATCAGCATCATCAACTTCTACTCTCCATTATCAGCAGCTGACGACTCAGAACTGATGCTTTCCACGAAGACGTGGAGCAGGTCGTCCACAACGAGAAGTCTTTTTACAAGTTCGTTGTGGGCGACTTCAATGCGAAGATCGGGATGCCACTAGAAGAGGAATATAGGACTGGGAAGTTTGGATATGGGCTCCTAAACGAAAACGGCAACCGTCTTGTTACCCTCTCTCCGCTGCACGTCTTTCCTCTGGAAATTCCATGTTCATGAAGAAAGAACAACGCCGGTGGACATTGGAATCGCCCAACTGAACAACCACGCGGAGGTCGACCACATTCTCACCAACCGAAGGTGGAGAGCCTCGATGTCTCAGTAGTTCCGTCTTCGAGCGCAGATACGATTTAATCGAAAGCTGGAAAAGAAAGTTGTTATACTGCCGCAAAAAAGAAGGAAGTCGTTTATGAAGGGAACAGGTTGTAAGAGCACATATCAAGTTGTGACTGGCCCACGACGACGACCCAACGTACGACTACGACCGGCTTCTGAAAGGATTGCGAGCCTGCGGAAAATGCGCCTCATGACTTCTGAGAAGAACTTGGAACGTATTCCGAAAACCACCAGGGAGCTCAAAAGAAGAAGATTTCTGAGGCAGGATCCGGATGCAACCCATCTCGAGCGACTGATAGCCAACGCCAGTTGCAGAACAGCTTTGCAGGAGGATGTCAGGAAGTACAAGCAAGGCAAGATACTGGAAGCAGCCGAAGAAAGACGAAGTCTCAAGAAGTGCCGAAGGGACCTCTGTGAATATCCGTACCGCTGGCTGCACTATTAAACGAAGACGGACCCGACTTCTTCCCGATACAAGATGAATTCTATCGCGAAGAATTTCTATACCAACCTCTTCCGGTCATCAGCACTCGTGCCGATGGCCGTTGTTCCCACTGGAGAAAAACCAATTGTACCTGCTGAAGTGCGCACAGCGTTTCAGACCATGGAGACGTCCACGGCTCCAGAACCAGACCATCTTTCCGTCGAATTTCTACAAGCCGGAGGACAACATTTACAAGAGCTCCGTCGCACCTGACATCTTACTTTCAAAACGAAAGGATTCCCGACCAGTGGAGAACGTCAAAAATCGTCCTTCTCTCAAAAAAGGGTGAACGGGAGGATCTTCGGGACTACCGTCCAATACGCCTGCTGAGTGTGCTGTACAAGATTTCACGAAGACTATCCTCGCTCGCATATCTAGGACACTGGATGAAGCCCACCCCCAAGAACAAGCTGGATTTCGCAAGGGATTCAGTTGCATGGACCACATCCAGGGTTTCGAGGGTCATAGAAGTCTGCCGGGAGTACCGACTGCCTCTCGTCCTAACCTTTGTCAACTACGAGAAAGCCTTTGACAGCGTCGAAACCAACGCCATCCTGTCCGCGCTAGTCGATCAGGGAGTGGACCCAGCTTACGTGAGGACGCTAGTCGACTGTTACAAAGACTGTACAACGACGATGCAGTGTTCCATCGCCCCGACCATCCCCATTGGGAAGGGGGTCCGACAAGGCGACACAATCTCGCCGAAGCAGTTCGCCGCGGCCTTGCAGTGGGTGATGAAGTCACTGGACTGGGACGAGAGAGGCATACGTGTTGATGGGAGATTCCTGTTCAACCTTCGTTTTGCGGACGACATCGTTCTCTTCTCGAGCAGTATCACCGAAGCAGAGACGATGCTGAAGGAACTAAACGAAGTAGGGAAGAAGACACGACTGCGAATAAATCGGAAGAAGACTCAGTTCATGAAGAACGCCCTTTGCGAAGATGCAGAAATGGATTTGAAAGACACCTCTATCATGGAGACGTCTTCCTACGTGTGTCTCGGACGTTCGATGAACATGGAGAACGACTTGAAGGAAGAACTTAACAAGAGAAGAAGAGCAACCTGGGCCGCCTTCGGGCCTCTGAAGGAAGCCACCGACCAACTGACGGACCCGGAGCTTCGTGCCCACCTTTCGACTCGACCGTTCTCCCGGCGCTCTGTTACGCAGCTGAGACTTGGGCCGACTAGCCACGTCGAAAGCTTTACGGACCACCCACAGAGCGCTCGAGCGCAGTCTTCTGAAGATGACCCGACGCAAGCAACATCTAGTCGGACTTTGCAAGACGGATTTGAGAAGAATGTCCTTCTTCGTGACCCAGCGGAATACGTCGCGAAAGCCAAACACCGATGGGCCGTCACATCATGAGAAGAACAGACGACAGATGGACACTAAGAACATCTGACTGGATTCCTCGCGAAGTCAAACGTCCCCGAGGAAGACCACCAGCGAGATGGGCAGACGTGTTCGTGGAGCGGATGGACCAGCTGAGAAATCAGCTGGATACGGTTATCGCACCTGGAACCGTGGACGCGGACACCGACGGTATCCAAGAAGATCATGGATGTCTGAAGCGAGGAACAGGGACAAATGTTTTGTGCTGAGGCCTGCACGCCACGTGAAGATGGGCCATCTAAGTATCTAAATAAGTAAGCAAGAGTTCTTTCAAACAGCGCATTTCGCAGCGGGTCTATATGCTGAAAGTGCCTAGTTTAGCGTCCATCATAATCCCACGATAATAAAAAGCTGTGGGTGGTCCCCTTTTTTGCTGTAGATGTGAGTTGAAGCCATTCTTACACAACGGTATTCAAAGATTAAGAAAAGCCTCAGCAAAAGAGATACCACGATCGAAAAGTGATATCTTTGGGACACTTTGTATAGCCTATAACGATTATTCAACAAGCATCGAATTTTTGAATAATCAATTCTCATCGAATTTTCGGATATTCGCTGCCCATATTCGAATATCCGATGGACATCGAATGCTCGGATTGATGACCATCGAATATCCGGCTATTAAATAATATTCGAAGGTTGAGATTTTCGAATATCGACTTTCGATTACTATTCAAAATTGGAAAATTAAGATCGACTATCGAATACTATTGAAAATCTCAGATTTTCGAAGATTCGAAATTTCGAGTCAATTTGGATGATTTATTCGAATAACTGAGTAATCATTCGATTCGGTCCAAAGTATAGTGGGCACCGTGCACAGAAGAACTTCGGCAAGGTTTGTTTTCAGTTTAAGGGAATTATTGTAGCGTGATGTACATGAATTCATCTAGGGTGTTACAAGCAATGCGCATAAATTCTTCTGCGTGACGAGGGCGCAGAAGCAATATTTTAAGTGTACGCGAACTTGGTGCGCGCGTATCAATATCATTGTGAGCCCCGCGCCTCATACACCCTGTTGCTAATAGAGCGTTTGCGCTACGGAGTTTTGTGCTTCGTCCGACAGTAGACCACAATTCAGATCCCTAAATCTGGGAAGTAGGTACGCTGAACCTTAGCGGATTCATTGGAATGCAGGATATGTCTGTTGCTTTCTTTGTCATGCAACACACAAGGCCCCGTGGTTCACTAGTTCTAATCAAAAATTCGGTACTTTTTTCTAAAACATTTCGCTCTCGATCTGCTTTCTTCACGCATATCCCTATCATAGCCAGAATGATCAACAGAATTTTCATGATTTTCAAGCACATGTCACGGTAGCGCCATTACAAATACCTGTCCCTACGACTGCGCGAAGACGACACAGCGATGTTGTAATAGAACCGCTTAGAGCACGGAGCGAAAAAAGCTTAGGCGACTACTCTTTTAGGTGGGAATACATCAACGAACGAAGGGGAAAAACCAAAAAAAAACCTACCACCGTGTTGCAGTGTGTGGTATTCCAGCTGACAGGCAAATTCATATGATTCGCCGCATTTACCGCATACATATGGCTGCAAGTACAAAGACATGTAAGAATAAATGATAATGCTCCAAACTCCATAGTGCCAAAACACTCCAAAAACTTTGCAGTCACGTCAACATCGTTTAAGAATGAAAATCACCTGCGAAATATTATGAACCCTCTCATGCGCTCGCAGAGTGTTCATGTAGTTGAAAGTTAGACCGCAAAAGCGACATTTATAGAAGATAAAGCCATTGTCGTCCTTTTCAACAACTGTCAAGGGATCTTCCGATTCCACTGATGAGTCCTAAATAGATACAGTTCCTTGTAAAGTTGATTGCAACAAATTCGGGGAGAAAATGAGCAATCTAGAATAGCTACAAAAAGTTGTGGCTCCTAAGGTGCATAATGATTCTCTTTCTCAGACAGTATTTTGAATCAAGGTGAATGTCTGTATGTATGTATGTGATTATTTATCAACGCACGAACAGTTACTGCAGAGTACGCTACGCGCAGTGAGACGCTTGTCGCATTACAAAACGCTATTGTACAAATCGTGCACCAGGTCCCGGCACGTGTTGCTTGGAGCATTTTTGAAGACGAAGTTCCCCATGATTCGCAAATTTACCAAGTCCCTCTTGAGGTAAAAATCAGTAGGGAAACCCTTATACAATCAAAATAACAATAAAAAAACGAAAAAAGCGCATTCTGAGGCACCTAATATAACAAAAAAGCAACAAAAAACATTTCGGGTTGATTCAAGGATCCTGTTCTTGGGTAAAGTAGTGTCATTTTAGTGCTCAGAATGTCGAAAACCTCCCAGGCCAACCAAATCTGTGGCCTCAACAATCTTTCGATGCATTTTTCGCCACATAGTCCAAAGGATACCGCATGTGATTGGAGCGCAATATCTATCAACGCCTAGATTTACACTACCTTTGGCTCAAAAAAAGATGAGAGGCAGGTTTGATTCGCTTTCTTCACTGTATGATAGAATTTTGACCGTTCCAATCGTCCAAATCAAAAAGGGCCAAAACTTATGTGAATTCTCCGATATTTATGCTCCAAACCAACCCAGTTGGTTTGGTTTTGGTCTAGAAAGCAACAAATTCGGGAACGGATATTAGGACACATAAATTTTCGGAACTTTTTACACAACATAGTTTGGAGTAATACTGTGTACATATGGTCCAAATTCGGAGCCATGCGATTGTTTCTGCGCTGTAAACAAGTATTTGTTTGTAGAGTCTTGCGTTTGAAATTGGCGCGCTTGCGAAAGAACACGTTTAACTCGTAAAACCTGACATCTTCGTCGTTTTTTTTATCGGCGCATCCCCCAGGACCTTATAAAAACGATATTCCCGTTGCTTCTAACTTCAAAAACGAAGTCCAGTTTGACCCCAGACCATCTGTGCCGAGCCCTGTCGTGCACTATCACGATTTAGCCCCGCGTCGCTGCCCAGCCACACTAGTCCGTGCGGTGTGCTTGTCGACGGCTCCGGGTCAGGAGTCAAACCGCGCGCGGCTGACGCTCGCCACGCTCAGATTTTGTGGCTTATATAGTCGTCCTCACCCCACTAGTCGGTCGGTGAACGAATTCGAATTCGAACTGGAGCAGGCAGGTCGCGGCAGAGCACGGCACCTTAGCTCTCCGTTCAAATTCACGCCTTCACTTTGCGTATTTCCTCGCCATTGCTTAGTAGTTTTTGTATTGTTGCAACGTTTTTGACCTATACTGAGTTTTTGTAATTGCTGAGCGTTGTTTCCTGCCGCGCTCTGCCGTGACAGGCCTGCTCCAATTCAAATTTGAATTCGTCCACCGACCGACTAGTGGGGTGAGGGCGAGTATAAAAACTCGCTGGTGCTAAAGTGCCACGGCGCCAGGGTAGGGGGTGGCGGCAGATACATGACTCGATGCTATAAGTAACATTGCACCGGAATACTACGAGAGCTGACACTTGTACTGGTTGACGTCCCGTTACGACATCGCTTCGACAAATCGTGACTCCTCACCCGTACCCCTTGTCGACTGATGTACGTATGAGGCTGTCGTGATTGTGACGGTCAGCGAATTTGCGGCCATTGCTAACGTGAAACGCCAAGAGAACTTTTCCAATTCATCCCCTCCTGTCAAGCGCTTTTCTACCATCAGATGTTAGCTTTTGAAAGCGATTTTAAAGTCAGCCCTGCAGTCCAGATTTAGCAAAAAAATTAATATAACCAATGTTAGGCGAAGGGTATCTTCATATTCATCTATCTTCATATTATCCAAAATTTGAAAATCGCCCACTACATGAATTCTGTTTCACTAATAATGACACCCTCAGGATTCTAATGAGGTTTAAGCCATCACTCTCAGAACCATACGATGGTATATTTATAAAGAATGCGCTGATGCTCTCTCCAAACCCTTGACACACATTTTTAACATTTCCATAATATTTGGCAAGCTACCTGGATTATGGAAAGAGGGTTTGATAACAGCAATTCCAAAAATTCAAACCCCTTGTATCGCACTTCCGCCCGATCAGCATAACCTCCACATCTGTCAAAGTTATGGAGAAAATCCTGAGAAACGTAATTACATCATGGCTTTTCAAAGCAAATCTTGTACCCACAGAGCATCATGGATTTATTGAGAGAACATGTACTGCCACTAACCTATTAGATAGTATTTTTGACTGGACCTTAGCTACCAACCACAAAAAATCTATAGATATAATTTTCTTTGATCTTTCGAAGGCTTTTGACAAAGTTCCTCATGAGAAACCCATAAAAAAGCTTGAAGGACTTGGAATTTCTGGTTGTTAGCTTGGCTAAATTCTTATCTGCTAAACAGACGTATGACTGTCAGAATTGGCCATAGTTACTCTGAAAAGTACGCGTGCAAAAGCGGAGTCCCACAGGATGGTGTGCTCTCGCCTTTGCTATTCCTCTTATACACTTTAGACCTACCTAAGATAGAAACCTCATCTTCAGTTAAAGTACAGATATATGCTGACGATATAAAAATTTACGGAATCTAAGATTCTAATGATTTCTTAGAGGTTCAGTCAGCCCTCAGAAGTTCTATCAAAAAATGTTTGATTGGTCGGTTAATTGGGATGTTCCCCTCAACCTGGACAAATGTTGCGTTATGCACCTACACACCCTGCACACCCTGCACAACTTGCACACCCTGCACACCTCACACAACCCGCATACCCTGCGCAACCTGCACACCCTGCACAACCAGCAAACCTGCACCCGAATGTGCACAAACACACAAACTCACTGATTTTCTGCTTTATATATATAGAACCTGGCACATTGGCTCCGCCTAGCCCTCTCGAAACACCATGGTCAAGGTCCCATCCCTATCACTGTACAACTTTTCCCTGTGCCCAGTTTTAAATGAAAATTCCCTATCCCCGCTTTGTTCTCGAAATTAGCACGCACTTACCTCCCTGAGCCAACTGCCAGCCTCATAGCTCAAACTTTACAAGTAATCGATAAAATCTATAAAAGTAATCGATACTGGAAACAAATGTTGTGTTTTAATCAGCATGCTCATTTACCTCTCTCCCCTCCCCCCCCCCCTATGCCAACTCCCAGCCTCGATTTTGGCAAAAAATCGACAGAAATCGATAAAATTAATATCCATCAATAACCAAAAGTGTCTACGACACGCTTTCCGCCCCGAAGTATGTGTGTGAAAAGTTTGGTCCAAATCGGTTTAGAAATAAAAATTTCTATCCCGCGCATACGAACACACAGACAGACCGACATCTAGCTTTATATAAGACTAGTTGACTTACCCGGCTCCGCCCGGCCCTGTCATTATTATATTCGTAATCAGCATGCTCGATTACCCCCCTGTGCCAACTCTCAGCCCCGTAGCTCAAATTTTGCAAAAAATCGATAGAATCGATATCGATCGAGGACGAAAAGTAGCCTATGACACCCGCCGGGGCCCGAAGTGTATGTGTGCCAAGTTTGGTCCGGATCGGTTCAGAAATGGAATTTTCTATTCGGAACATACGTACACACAGACAGACAGACATACAGACAGACATACAGACAAACAGACATTCAGCTTTATATATAAGATTCCGAAAGTAATTTCGCTTTTTTCAAACGGACGCCACATACGATGGAACAAAGATTTCTAGAAGATCTTGGTAGCATTCGATGCAGAATTTCATTTTCTTTCTAAGCGTTATGCAATTTTTGCAAAACAGTCAATGAGCTTTCAGAAAATGACCAAAACCTGTACCCATGCTTTTTAAGATGGTCAAGTTTTATAATTTTTTAAAACTTTTATATCAATCCTCAGAAGGAATGCAAGTAATGATTCGATAGAGTAAGCCTTATAGAATACAGTACTACTTTTTTCTCCTTTCCATAGCTTGTCATACATTTTTAACAGAATTTTAACTGATGCTACCGATTTCCATACTTAGGCAGCTAAATCCTCGTAGAACATCAAAAGAAGACCAGCTCGCGCATTATTCGATGCAGCATTTTCTCCTCTCTCTAACAGGAGTTTTTTGTTTCCGATCCGTTAGTTTTCGAGGATGAAATCATCATAACTCATTTCTTTAGCGAGCCCCATGCTGTACCCGAAAAACTCGAAATCTGATATTTCGAACCCGTAAACCCTCACATGCAAAATGCATGCAATTCATAGTACCATCTTGGAGTCTCAAACTACGAAAAATTACGATGTTTGATGCGATCGTGGCTGAGATGGACCTGCCAAAATCCGATGGTTCTGTTAAAAAATCTTTCGAAAAATTACGGCGAGATACGAGGAAGAGAAAAAAGTAGTGCTGTGTTCTATAAGGTTTACTCTATCGAATCATTACTTGCAATTCTTCTAAGGATTGATATGAAAGTTTTAAAAAATCATAAAATTTGACCATCTCAAAAAGCATGGGTTGCAGATTTTGGTTATTTTTCTGAAAGCTCATTGACTGTTTTGCAACAGTTGCATAATCATTAGAAAGAGAATGAAATTCTGCATCGAATGCTGCCAAGATCTCTTAGAAATCTTTGTTCCTTCGTATGTGGCGTCCGTTCGAAAAAAGCGAAATTACTTTCGGAATGACCTAATATATAAGATTCGAATAATCGAAAATTCGAATGCAAGATTAGAATATTCAAGAAAGCTCGCATATGAAACATGCGAATAAGCATTTTAACACTCGAATATTCAATTACGTGCTTTTCTTGCTCGAATATTCGAACAACTGTTTTCAAAAATTTTTCAACTATCCGAATATTTGAATAACTGTCAAAATTCCTAGAAAATTCGAATACTCGAGTAAGTCATTTTTTTATTGCGTAAATGAATGAATATTCGAATAAAGGTCTTTTTACTTAGTCGACTACTCGAATAATCGAATGAATTCAAATGAATTCATTTTCTCTAATATTTGACAATTCGAATATTTGAATAGTCGAATACCTCGAACAAATTATTTGAATACAAATATTCGATCCCAATCATATTACCCACGTACCTAAAAGCAAGCGCCTCCTTTGGCGTGAGAATCGCGGAATCCTTGAGGATATGCTTAGGGGTCAGGTTATTCAGGTTATTGATTATAAGAGTAAGGAAGCGCTTCTTGTGATTAGATAATTAATGACTTTATATCTAAAATCATATTTTTGAAACTTTTTTGTCCCCTCTGCCACTCAGCGGACAATCATTCTTCTCTGCATACTAGTTTTTTAACACTTTAGAAAATGCATCACCGCAACGAACGACCCCCAATCTTGAGCTGGTTCTTTAAGTTCAACGGTATATAAAAGCAAATTTATTCTGCACTCTGTAACAACTTTCTTTTCACTCTTATAAACATGCCTCTTCAAGCGAATGATTTGAATTTTAAAAAATTGAAGGAAAAATGTGCAGTTCAGATTCTTTTTCCAAATCTTCACTTATTCGAAGATAGAGAACTGTAAGAAACAGATTGACAGACAGTAAAAAACTGCTTGAAGGAATCACGTGGCATTAAACGAAAAGCAGAAAACCGGACTTTCGCTTCAAAAATGTTAGCAAGGGTGTGCAAAGTGCAAAATGTGTATAGCTCTAGAACTACCAAACATTAAGATTATATTTATGCTAGACATTGAGCTGTGCTAAAGAAAGAGATGTGTGAGAGTGTGTGTGAGTGAGAGATGAGAGATGAGAGAGAGTGAGAGAGAGAGTGTGAGAGATGTGTTACTCCCATCCAAAAACTTTACAGTCTACAAGAGATGACTTGCGTGTTTTGTTGACTTCTTGCTAATGACGAGCGCTCATTGACAAATCTCATGCGTAGAAAACCATTCGACGTGCGCTCTTAGAAATTGCTGCTTAATTGCTCGGGCGTGCTCTGGTAGCTAAAAAAAAACGAGGACCGCTTGCTGAAGGTTTAGCCGCGCCCCAAAATCTAACTGACAGCTCGCAAAAAGACGGTGTTTGCGACCCGCCTGCCCCCGGCTATTATCTGAGTAGGCACTGACCCTATAAGTTGTGTATTAACAGGGTGACTCGTGAATTAGTTGTGTATTGACAGGGTGACTCGTGAATTAAAGCGTTCCGCAGATAAGGATTGCAGTTGTGAGATCAGCATTCATCACTGCTTCCCAACATGTACCTTCTCCATTTGACACTTAAACTAAACAGGCACTTCTTCTGAAGAATCAAGCTCTACCTACCACTTTCTCACAGCCTCCCTCCTGGCCGCCATTTCGACAAAGTGACCTTTCCTTGCATGAAAATGAGTCAGAAAAAAATGTAGAGATGGAGCGTGAGTGTATTTACGAGCTCCAGCACCAAAATCCAGCATCTAATCTCGTGCGTAAAGGGGAGGGGGAGGCTAGCGGCGTTTCGAAGCGTCGGACGCTTTTGCTATTTAGCGCTCTTCGAAGGTATCACGATTCCCTTAAATTCTCAAAAAGAAACCGGAAATCCTTACCAGCCTGTCCAGCGCCCTCAGTGTTGTATCTAGTTTTGAGTTGAAGGTGGACCTTTCACGTGCCTCAGGTGCTGGTGAAGAAAAATTGGAATTGAGATCGAGCGGAAGATGTGTAGATGAGTCAGGGTAGACTCGCGTGGAGGGATTCTTAGAGGGGCTCTCTCTCGGATTTGCGACAGCGGTTGTAGTGGTGATGCCAAATCCATCGCCATCAAGGATTGCATCCTAAACAGCAAAGTTTGAAGTGGCCAAAGCAGCTTCACCAGTATTACCTCCGAACTTCGTGCATTCTTAGGGAACAGCTATAGGTTGTCGGCAATGATTGCCGAGGTTGCCGTCGCTTTAGAACAACGTAGTACTCTCGTGCGTTATGCGCTCTCTAACAACCTCGGCAACCCCGGTAACCGTTGCCGGCAACCTACGGCCGATCCTTTAAGCTCAGTACAACTTTTCTGTACTCGTGCAGATTCCGCTTATTTCTCAATGTCCTACTTTTGCCATGAAGGATAATTCTCACTCTCATGATCTCCTTATTCAAATGTGCACTTAATCTCCCTGTTTTCTTTTATCAGAACGCAGAGGCAAAAATGAAACAAAAGCACCTTTGCTAAGTACCTTTGCTTAACTCATTAACGACGGCTTGAGTCACAGGTGGCCACATAACTTTCAAGATAATACTTCCCCATGCCAATATTTTTCCCAGGAACCGTGGATAGATCCGTTAGTAAAAACTTTACAAGCTTTGATTTCCTTGCCAATATCAGCATCCATAAAAAAGGGGTGTATGTAAAGAAGCGCGATTTCTATTGCCAGATGCGCATCAAATAATATACATGTAGTGTTTTATCAAATAGGAGATTATGTAGTCGTGCTATAACTAAAAAATCAATTTGTAAAGTCAATGTAGGTCAAGTCGCTTCGGAAAGCTACTAAGCACAGCACTTTCTCTGACATCGGAGACACACATAGCGCTGAACTGGAGTATTGAGTTGGTGAGACCCCGGAAAAATCGCGCCTCTTGGCCGTCTCTCATTAGTATATACAGTCATTTCATTGTCATGTGTGGTCAAGTACACACTGTCCGCATTGCCCAAACAGTTTTATGTGATGAAGCTTGAGCCGAAATTGAGCGTGATAGAGCATGTGCCATGATGAATAAGGATGAACGTACCATCGGCTCCACTATTCGTGTAGAGGAGGATCGTGGCAGCTCAGAGCGGGCAGTTTTTGATAGCGAGAGAGCACGAAAAACAGTGCCATGACGTGGACTTTCAATATGTTAATCCCTTTAATCAAAGACGCAATCCACCTTTACACGAATCTTGGAGCCGGTCATAGTTGATCTAATAGAGTGCATGTTTGCAGAACTAATGGTCCAGCGCCAAAAGTGGGGCTCATGGAAGGGAGTTATGGCGCTTTTAAGCAAAGTCTAGCCAGGGCGTTCATGTTTTTTTTCTAGGTACCAGTTTCCACGAAGTGATGTAAGCCATAACAATCGGGCATTCTTCTGCGTTTATGTGATTGCAATCCAGGAGTACGCCACAAATGAACGGTGTTTGCAATTGACACACATGGTCATATGAAATGAGACTGTGAAGAGCCGTAGTACGAAAAAGGATTACTCCAAATAATGCTATGCAAACATAAAAACAATGGCGACAGTTCGAAAATCAACTGACCGAGACATTGGCTTTTGGTACCAAATCATCATACATATTCAGATGCTCCATATTTCTGATGATTGACTGAAATAAAAAGATATCATAGGCCAGAGTATCAATATTATAGGCTGGAGTTCACTCGACGTTCGGTTTCTATTTCCCGTTAATAACTTCCCATACATGTGTTCAAACAACTTCCAGGTTTGGCTTTGTTCATTGACAAAATCTCGCTAAGTAATCGCGCGCTTGCTTACAGCTGCAGTTAATCTTGACAAACACCCTTCAGATCTTCGTATTTTCGAGGCCTTTGTGGTTGACATCATGGTGGTGCAAATGAGTTGCAAAAGTTTAATGATCAAGCAATACAACAACTTCTACTTATCGAGTTTTGGGAAAAATTCCCAGCTGAACACTACTAAAAAAATTTTTCCGCTACCAAATTAAGGCTGTCGTTGGTAGAGTTCTTGAATTTATCGGCGCCAATGCCTAAGCTTCGCTCTTCAGCTAAGCTTTGCTTCACAATTTTTACTGGGTTCGCAACAAAACAAAGAGAAAAATAATTGATAATACAGTGCAGATTTCTACAGTCAGTCTAATACTATAACAAATGCGCTTCAAAACCTTTCCCCGTTCTGCAAGATCTGACAATCGGAACTCATAAACTAAAATTTCGGGACGACCTGATGAATTAAAAGATTCTTCTCACCCCGTCATTTTTTGCAGCATTTTTGGCGGTGTCGCAGGCAGCCATGAGCTCCTCGAAATCCTTGTCACGAAGTCTTTTTGCCTATAATGCAATCTCTCTATTCCCAAAGTTACAAACGCAAACGTACAAAAATCAATCGATAATAGCCCTACCTCATCGCGCGAATCACTCATGCTGCCGACGTCGGTGTAATAGTCGAGGCTGCCAATGTTCGTTCGACAGCTTTAAGCCCACTCAGATCCAGTACGAAGGCGCCGCCTCTCCACTGAAAGGGTTTCTCCTTTCATTTTTTCCATACTCATAAAGAAGTGGGTCAAATCTAAGGCACTTCACGCGCTTCCAGCCGTTTTTTCATAATGGCTGGTTTTGCCCCGGCAGCAAGTGCGGGAAACCATTCAAAGGTATCATCTAATTTGTCCAAGATCCACCATCGACCACGTCCCAATCAGTAGGCGTAACTGAGATCATACCCATCCGGCTGTTCTCCCTAAGTGTTTTGGCGTGGCAAGCACAATCGATACATCTTTGTGAACTTCTTTCAATACAATGCCCATAGTTATTGTTAGCTTCATGTCAAGATACATGCGGAATTCTGCCCACAAGGAGAACTTCAACCAAAATCCGAAATGTGATGGTTTGTTCGAGAAACGGGCAATCTCCGATGCAGAACCTTTAACGTACTAAACGGGCAATCTGCGATGCAGATGCCAAGATACGCTTGGTCTATCTTCGCCATTGCTGTCTCCTGCTTTTTGCAATGTGTCCGACAAGGGAAGGATACTTGGTCGAAGTGGCGTTTCCATATGAAATGCATACTATTTTATAGAGCATGCAACGCTGGTTCCAAATCTGCCTTCTTTATCTGCAAAGCGCTTCTGGGAGGAGAGTTATGAAAATTTTCGATGCAAAAATTCAAAGGGAGGCTACAATAAAAGCATTCAAAACGTTGATCCATGAGCTCAAGTAGGGCCACGATTACTACCAGAGCCTTTTATGTGATAAATAACTTCAATCTAATAAACTTATGCCAGTCATTACTCCTTTCAAGCTCCGGAAAGATCTTAACACCTGTTTTTAACTCAGTCAAATCATTGAATTTTTACCCCAAAAAATTTCCAGAACTTCTTTCCCAAAAGCGCTTTGCAGATAAGGAAAGCAGTTTTGGAATCAGCGTTTTATGCTCTATAAGATAGTACACATTTCATATGGAAACGCCACTTCGACCAAGTATCCTTCCCTTGTGAGAGCAGAATATTATAGTTCCAAATGAAGTCTCCTGCCCTGCTGTATGCCTGATAGCTGAATATCATAAATATTATAGTTCCAAATGAAATTCTTTTGATTTGCAAAAAGTGAGCACCAGCTTCATTGGACAAATTCGGCACAGAATCACAGTCGTTGACTTAAGCGTTAAGAAATAAAATCGCGCTTTGAACTTAGGGAATTTCGAAATTTTTTCGAGTAATGAAATCTATCAAATAATACTCGAAAATCATTCTCGAATATTCGTCTATATATTATTTTCGAAAATTTCGAATATCCGTCTATCAAATAATATTTGAAAATGGAAACTTTCGAATATTGACTTTCGAATAATATTCGAATCGAATAACACTCGTTTTCCGAATTTCGAATATGAATCGATTTTCGAGTACTATTCGATTCTCGAACATCATTCGATTTCTGAAACTATTCAAATAATAAATGTCAGTGAGATGGCTGCTATGAGAGAACAAAACATCTAACAATAAATCGCTCCATGTAAGTATTGACAACATGCACTTTTACATTACAATTTACGACGAAAATACGGCTTGATGGTGACGTCATGAGACTTGCGGGCCTAAATGCGTACTCCTAGGACGGCTATGAAGAGATTTTTACAACTTTGAAGATTGCATACCGTCCTTTGAGAGTTTTTGATTGATATAAATACAAGGGTCTCAACAGTAAGTACATTGTGGGCTAACATCACCTTAAAATAACAATATGGCGTGACTTATCCGCTCTTCACTGTTGTAAAATTACCATAGAAAAACTGAAGAGGATTTTAAGACATCGAAACTTCTGAACGCACTCACTATGTAACAAAATTGCACTCAACCAATGCGCTTTTTTCAAGACTTATGCCACGTAAATGTAACAAATGCTGTTTAACGCTTTTCAGAAACGTGGTTGCACATTTCAAAAGCTTGATATACTCATGCGTGGTAAAACCAGCATCGTAGAAACTCTGCAACACACTTTTCGATCTTTTTAGAGAAATTCTCTTACAAGGAAAGGATACTTGGTGACCGTGGTCTTTTGCAATGGGATGTATACCAGTAGATGCGCCTTGTAACGCTGATTTCAAATCTGTGTTCATTATCTGCTGTGCGACTCTTTGAATAAAGTTATGGCCTTTTCTCCACATTATTTTCACGAGATTTCGGCAGTCTGAATCATCAGTATTCAGGCTTTTTAGACTCTGATTTATCGGAGATTGTTTTTCTGAGCTTAATATGAAGCTTTATTTTATAGCGACCCCACGGGTCGCTAGCAAGTGGGTCGGGGCAGATACAATATAAGGGCTTAGTTGTGACTATAAATACTTCTTAAGTTTCCTATTCCTTTCCTGAGAACTTTTTTGCGAAAAGCATTCTACAAAAGGGGAACTGCTCAAAGAAGCGATAATCTCCACAAATCATTCAGCATTTCTCGAACCCGCTACAACAATGCATGTAGAATATTATTTTCCTCTCGTTTACCACGCTCTTTCTGCAAATTTTCCCTCCTCTCAGAGACATTCAGATAATTCCAACCCCCACCCACTTTTCTACCCTCTCAAAGAGAATTTGCTCTTCCAGTTCTTCTCAACAAGTTCCATAAAAGATCGTTGAGTAAGCAGCAGAACACTTATAGTTTTGGAAGTAGAAATATACCCATAACAACTATGTGTACTACGAAAAAATAGTTTTGGAAGTAGAAATATACCCATAACAACTATGTGTACTACGAAAAACACTTTTCTCTCAGAATCAATTCCGACAGCTACGAAATCAATCGTGCAAGGACTTTTTCAGAGAATCCCTCAATTTTTTGGCCAAAGGAATATGAAGTTTTACTACAAAAGGAGATCACTCCCCGAAAAGCACACTACTGAGCCACCCAAAGACCGTCAATCAACATACAAAAAATTTGTTTCCCTGTCCGATCAAATTGCCCTACTTGCCGCTTACAAACCAATATTATCTATCTGAAAAACAGTTCATGCCCTACGTGCCGCTTGAAGACCGTTTGAAAATTATAAGAACTGTCCCAAACGTATAAAAATCTGTACCCCTGCCCGATCAAGTTGCCCTACGTGCCGCTTGAAAACCGTTTAAAAATTATAAAAACTGTCCCGAACGTACAAAAATCTGTTCCCCTGCCCGATCAAGTTGCCCTACGTGCCGCTTGAAGACCGTTTAAAAATTGTAAGAATTGCCCCAAACGTACAAAAATCTGTCCCCCTGCCCGATCAAGTTGCTCTACTTGCCCTTGAAGACCGTTTAAAAATTATAAGAACTGTCCCAAGCGTACAAAAATCTGTTTCCCTGCCCGATGCAGTTGCCCCATGTGCCGCTCTTACACACCGATTCCTAGTTGAAAGCACCAGCGGGACCCATTAACAAGCAAAAGCAAGGCTGTTATTAGATAAACGTTTCCAAAAGTACCAGCGAGACCAAGTTATTCACGCATTCTCTTGTCTACACGTGGAAGCAAGACGATCCTAAAGTGACTGTTCTCAGTTAGAGCATTTTTACAAGAGTTGGAAACTTAGATGAATTTAGCTCAAGTCACACTGTTGCGCAATTTGGCATCATTTCAAAAGCAACTAATAGGAGTACAACATATTTGAAAGACACATTCTGGGATAACAAGCTCGAAAAAAAAACAGCTACAAATAACCACCCGGACACCCGGACACTGGCGACCCAGTCTCAAAATTATTGCGACCTTATGATTGCCTTTCGAAATACGTGTGACCCTTTTACGAAAATATGCTTGGTCACTCCCAAAACGCATGCCACTTGGCAGCAATCCAAAGACAAAGATCAGTGTATTTCATCATAATTTCTCTGTCTGCTGCCTCCTCGTTTGCCATGTTCCACGGACCAGGGGTGTTAATGGGTAAACAACGATTCCAAAATATATTACGTAGTGATCTGGGCACTTTTTTGTAGTACGTAATGAACATTCGACGTATTGGTGATTTCTGTCAACAAAACAGTGCAAATTTTGGTGGCAATAAATGTTCACAACTTCTTTCGGAAGAGCGCACAGCAGATACCGGAGGCAGATTTGGAATCAGCGCCTCAAGATGCATTTATTGGTATGCGCTTCATTCCAGAAGGCCATGGTCACCAGGCAATGGCGTACCCAGGATTTCCGCTCGGGGGGAGGGGGCGCGACAAAATTTTTTTTTCAAATGAAGGTGCGTGGCGTTAGCCACGCACTCCGAAAAAATTTTAGGGTTTTTCAAAATTTTTGCGGGATCCAAACCCCTAAAATCTAGAGAAAGGGGGCGTGGCGTCAGCCACGCCCCCGAAAAATTTTTTTTTATAAAGCTAATTTGAATTTTTAAAAATTTTTAAAAATTATTTTAATTATTTACAAGTATAAACAAGTCACTTGCACATTTTTATAACCCTTATAAGTAACTTTCAAAAATTTTGCGACCCATTCTTGGGGGGGGGCGCCCCCTCCGCCCCCCCCCCCCTCGGTACGCCACTGTCACCAGGTATCCTTCCCTTGTTAGATGTCTTTTTCGCTTTGCTCTATATGCTGAAAGTTCCTACCGTGACCTTACAGAAAAGCATGAGTGATTCAATTGTTGCTGTATATGTAAGCTGAAGCCATCCCTACATGATGTTAGCCAAAGGTTGGGAAAAACTTCATGAGAGGTATCAGTGATCAAACACTTTGTATATACTTTTTGCACACCCCGTGTATGCTTAGATATCGAATTTTTAGACATTCGGTGCTCATCAATTAATTGCATTCAATGATCTAAATGATGACCATCGAATATTCGACCATCGAATATTGTTCGAAATCTCAGGTTTTCGAATACTCGAATTCTGGAATTAATTTGCATTCGAATGATTTATTCAAATAATCGAATGATCCGTCGATTCGCTATAAAGCGTAG